CTTCTTGGTTAGTCGGGTGAGCGGCACTGCTATCTTGGAGAAGTCCTGAATAAATCTCCGATAATACCCTGCCAATCCTAGGAAGCTCCGAATCTCAGATGGAGACCTCGGGACCTCCCACTGCATCACGGCCTCAATCTTGGCCGGGTCAACCAAAATACCCTTCTGGTTAACGAGATGCCCAAGAAACTGCACCTCGCGCAACCAGAACTCGCACTTGGAGAACTTAGCGAAAAGTCTCTCCCTCCTCAAAGTCTCCAACACCTCCCGCAGGTGCTCCTCGTGTTGCCCCTGTGTCTTGGAATATACCAAGATGTCATCTATGAACACGATCACTGACCGATCCAGCATCGGTCTGCACACGCGGTTCATGAGATCCATGAACGCGGCTGGGCATTGGTGAGCCCAAATGGCATCACCACAAACTCATAATGACCATACCGGGTCCTGAAAGCAGTCTTCTGTACATCCTCATCCCTGACCCTCATCTGGTGGTAACCGGAGCGTAGGTCGATCTTGGAGAACCAAGACGCTCCCTGGAGCTGATCAAACAAGTCATCTATCCTCGGAAGTGGGTAACGGTTCTTCACCGTTACCTTGTTCAACTCCCGTAATCAATACACATCCGATGCGACCCGTCTTTCTTCCTCACAAATAAGATCGGCGCTCCCCAAGGCGAACTGCTCGGCCGAATGAAACCCTTGTCTAACAGCTCCTGAAGCTGTGTAGACAACTCCTGCATCTCAGGGGAGCAAGTCGATATGGTGCTTTGGCTATCGGAGCCGCACCAGGAACCAGGTCGATCCTGAACTCAACCTGCCTCTCAGGAGGTATCCCCGGCAAATCCTCGGGAAACACGTCCGGGTAATCTCGAACAATAGGAACATCATCAATCGTCGTCTTGCCCTTATCCCGGGCATCCAAGACGTAGGCTACATAACCGGCGCAACCCTGCTGAACGTAGCGCCTCGCCCTTGCGGCAGAGCAAAGGTCAGTCCTCGCTGGGGCCTCTCGCCCTGAATCACTATCTCTCCCCCACTGGGAGTGCGAACCCTCACTAGCTGAAGCTCACAATCAATCACCGCCCCATTGGGGCTTAGCCAATCCATGCCCACAATAACTTTATTCCCGCGCAGGGGAATCGGAACCAAATCCACTGAAAACTGCTCCTCAAATATCTGAAGGGAACACCCTCTATATACTCTGTCGACCCTCACGGTCCTATCATCTGCTATCTCAACCTCTAATGGACAATCCAGCTCCCCCGGAGCTCTGCTAAATCTCTTGCTAAGCGCAAGCGATACAAATGATCGGGTGGCCCCCGAATCGAACAATACCAAAGCAGGGATGCCGTTCACCGAGAACGACCCTAAATAAAACGTACCATCAAATAATATTCAAACGATATATTAATAATTAAAAGATGAAAGAAATATACATACCCGTCACCACATCAGGAGTCGCTCGCGCCTCCTCTGCTGTCATCTGAAATGCCCTGCTCTTCGCCACTGGCGCATCAGCTCGGCCCTGCCGGCCATCCGTGATCCTCAAGGTGGCAGGGGCGGGTGCAAGCACCTTCCCTGCTGCAGCTAAACTGGGACACTGGGACCTTTTGTGTCCCCTCTGATTGCACTGAAAGCAAATCAGATCCGATGCTGTAACCGTAGTGGCAGGGGCCGTACAATCCCTACTCATATGCCCGGTCCGACCGCACTTGTAGCAGCCGGAACTCCCTGCCTTGCACGCCCCCTCGTGCAACCTCCCACACTTGCCACACCGACCGTGGCTCTGCTGACCCCTGGACCTGTGATCTGAAACCTTGGGCTTTTTGCCCACACTGCCTGTACCCGAAACCGCCTCCGGTTTCCTCTTCCTCTCCATCTCGAGATCAATCTCCCTCTCTCTGGCTCTAGCAATCATGTCGTCCAGTGTTTTGCAACTGGACCGGCTCACAAACATACGAATGTCACTCCGCAACATCTCGTGATAACGGGCCTTCTTCATCTCCTCATCGGCTGCATACTGTGGAACAAGAAGGGCCCTCTCCCTGAACTTGGCGGTGATCTCCGCCACTGTCTCGGTAGTCTGGGTAAGATCCTGGAACTCCCTAGCTAACTGTTGCACCTCAATGACCGGTGCAAACTCCGCTCTGAACCTGGTAGAGAAATCAGCCCAGGTCATGGCATCCAATGCCGCATCATCCCCGATGGCATGTCCTACCTCCTCCCACCAGTCTCGTGCCCTGTCCTTCAGGAGACAGGACGCCAATCTGACCTTGTCCCCCTCGGACATCTGCTAGTGCGGAATGCGTTGGCCACATCCGCCAACCACCTGGTACTCGCTATGGGGTCCCGTGCCCCGTGATAGTCAGGAGCCCCGCATGCCCTGAACTCCCTGAAAGTGAGTGTGCGCGACCCCATCACGGCCGCCATCTCAGTACGGAAAGTACTCAGTCTCTCATCCATCATCTCCAAAATGCCCTCCTTGATCGAACCGAAGATCACAGGAGTCTGCTCAGTATGATGCGAGTAACCTCAGAAGAAAGGAACTCTCTAGTCTGCTCATCCATCTGTCCGACCTCCGGGTCTGATCCCGATCCTGATCCCCCTCCGGCATCTGAACTGCCGGCTGCTGGCCTCGGACGCAAAAGTACCATTCTGAAACATATCATTACAACATCAGAACACTGAAATATTTCAAGGGATCATGATACGACTACTAGCTTCCTGGTCTTGTCTTGGCCTTCCTTGATTCGAGTACGGATCCTCTGCTTCCAGTAGTATGGGCCCCTACTACCTTCCACATCTATCCGTACTTTCCTCAAGAACTGCCTCGACTTCCCCAAGTCACTTCTACCGCTGCTATTCTCTGCTACTCTCATCCTAGGCTTGCCCTAGAGAAAACTCGAGCTCAATACGACTGGTCCTCAGCTGCTGTAGGTCTCCTCGCACTGCCAGTTAGCCATCACCTGAACACCATCACATGTGATGAGGATCGGATAATCCTTCAAGTAAAAGATCCGTCCCTACAACGGTTGGACTCAAACAAGAGCTGCGCAGTAGGGCCAGTTCCAGCACTCTGGGATTATTCAAACCTGATTACATGTGGTGTAACGTGTCCACCTAATGGCTAACTCCCATTACTCGGAACCCCACCAAGCACAAAGCAAGCAGCATTCGGATAAGGGAAACAGACTCAAGCAAACTATTCTTATAACAAGAAACTGTACTAGCATAGGATGCTAAGCTCATACTATCAGGCATAACCTAAACAGGCTATCCTACTGCTGTCTACTCAATTCTAGCATGCAATATTCATAAAGCTGTAACACATAAGCAGGCACATAAGGCATTCTCCTAAATCCTTAGTCCTATACTAGCATGCTGTTCTACTAAAACTGAAATTGAACAAATAACTTGTATGAGTAATTTGGGAGTACTTACTTGAGCTCGGTTGACCGCATGCACACACCTCTATCTTGTTAAAAAAATCTTCCTTTCTAAGTACTTTCAAAATTCTTTTTATAAAACGTTTTTATTTTATTAAAATCTTTTATTTCCCCTTAGTTTGAGTTCAGATACACCCGAAAGTGTATCCGAATCCCTCAAACCAGGGCTCTGATACCAACTTGAAACGACCCAAAAATACGACCCAAAAATTTTTTGTTTTTAATATAATCAAAACTGTCAGAGTATCATATAAATAAACCATGCGTGATATGTCCAAAACATAATAAAATACTGTGCGGAAAACTGTATCATACTACATCAAATCAAACAACTAAATCAATCCCAGGCTAAAGCTGAGGCGGTGGTGTGTGCGATGCCGTCACCCCGAGCTCTTCCCTTTGCTTGCGGAAGTACCTGAAACCAAAACTGAAACTGTAAGCACGAAGCTTAGTGAGCTCCCCAAATACCACATACCATACAATAACATATAAACACATATTGGGCCTTGCCCACTGCATCGGGCCGAAGCCCGGAAACTGCATCGGACCGAAGTCCGGAACTGACTGGGACCTTGTCCCCTGCATCGGACCAAAGTCCGGAACTAACTGCATCGGACCGAGTCCGGAACTAACTGCATCGGACCGAGTCCGGAACTGACTGGGATCGTGTCCCCTGCATCGGACCGAAGTCCGGAACTGACTGGGACCGTGTCCCCTGCATCGGACCGAAGTCCGGAACTGACTGAGCATAGCATAGCATATCATAACAAATATACTGCATACTGCATCGGGCCGTAGCCCGGAACATAAAACACATAACACATAGCGCATAAATCATGTCTGAACCACGAAGGCATCAAACATACTAACTACTACATCGGACCGAAGTCCGGAAACTACTACTAACTGGACGGGCCGGCATTGTGGCCTTAGACCCGTCCCTACTGGAAGGAAACTCACCTCGTAAGCTAGCGGATGAGTGTGTGGCTCGGAAAGCTAA